ACACTTCCACCCAGCTTGGTGTCGTCTGCAAACTTACTGAGGGTGCACTCAATCCCCTCATCTAGATCATCAATGAAGATATTGAACAGGACTGGCCCCAACACTGAGCCCTGGGGAACACCACTCGTGACCGGCCGCCAACTGGATTTGACTCTGTTAACCACCACTCTCTGGGCCCGGCCGTCCAGCCGGTTTTTAACCCAGCGCAGAGTGCACTTATCCAAGCCGTGAGCAGCCAGCTTCTCCAGGAGAATGCTGTTACAGTCGACAGGACTGGTGACCGCCCAGCGCTCTGATCCACCAAGAGCTCTCTGTAAGCCTCTCCGCCCTCGAAGGACTCAGTGGTCCTCCTAATTCAGCGTTGCTGGCAGGCGTACGTGGTGTGCACTCACCTCCCTGTCCAGGTCACTGGTGGAAGCACTGGGGAGGACCGGCCCCAAACCTGAGCCCTGGGGCACAGCCACTGGCCACCAGCCAGGTGTTGCCCCCTTTGAGCCTGACCCTTCAGGCTGGTGTTCGCCCATCACAGTGTGTCCAGCTATCACCATGTGCTGGGTGTTTTGTCCAGAGGATACTGTCAGAGACAGTATCAAAAGCTCTGCTAAAATCTGAAAAAAACCCACCTCCACTGGTGGGTAACCTCGTCATAACCTTGTCGTTCCAGCTGTGATTTAAGTTTACGTCTCCTTATGTTGCCGTTTCATCTTGTAGCAGTATTTCCAAACTTGTAAATGCGCCGTGCTGATTTGGTTTTAATCTCGTATAGCTCTTCAAATGAACTTGGCGAAATCCAAGCACATTACTTTAATCACAGCTACAAATCTAAATTAGCAGTATTAAGTTAGCAAATCTAAATGAGGATGTGAGCCAAGACTGTCTGGGGACCCTGGCAGTTGTGCTGCGGATGCCCTGAGCCGCTGAGTGCATTTGAACCTGGTGTGTGCTAGATCTAGGTTAAGAGAGAAAAGTCCCACCTGGAAAGGGTGGGTGACAGCCCACGGTGGTGACTGCGGCTGCCGTGTCGGGAGGTGGCCAGGTGGGCGTCACCAGTGAGGTTTGGGGGATGGAGTATGCCGTTTGCTCTGCCGTGCGTCCTCCACTGCTCGGCATCACCATTCTCCTCCAAGTCCGTTTCACCTGCAGGACCACCCTGACCCGCAGTGCTGGCACGGGCTGGGTGAAACTGAATCCACAAAAGGCGTTTGAATGCTGCCCGGGAAGTTTGCTTTCTGCTACAGTTAAGGGTAGCAGTAACGGTCGTGGTTACGGTAACGGTTCCCAGCACCGCAGCAGTGATAGGCCATGCCCGCAGCAGCATCCTCAGGTGAAGACCTCTTTTTTTTTTTTTTTTCCCAGTGGGGACTTTACGAGATGGAATCCCAGTATCAGGAAAAAAAAAATTGATAGTGCTGAACAGCAGCGTTTAGAGGCTGGTATTTTCACTCATCCTTTTTGCAACTTGTTGGCTCCTCGGAGTTTGCATGGCACTGTGGCTGGATTATGGATGGACTGGACAATAGGAGCAGTAATTATTGTTCTGACGTTAAATGTCTTTAAATATCCATGATGATTCAAGACTCCTGCTTATGGCTACCTGTGAAACTTTCTTTTATTTTAGATGAGCTTCATTAGTACATTTCTGGGATGATAATGCGTCTGAGTAATCCGATCTGTACGCGCATAGGTTTATCAATCCCAAAGGGAGCCGAGAGCTTCATTTCCAATGCGGAGCCCTGCTGAGGTCGGTTGCTTACAACCGCACAAGTTGCCTCTCAGACATGTAGGTGCTTCTCCGCAGGACCGTGCTCCCTCCCGCCCGCCGCTCCCTGGAGGAGCAGCCGCCTTCCCAGCCGCCTGCCCGGCCGTGAGGGGACGCTGGCGCAGGGCGGCGCAGAAGCCAGCGCCGCAGCTCCTGCGGAGCTTTGGGCGTAGCCACTGATAGATGGTTTCATTTAGCTGGTGTGGGCACTGCTGTTATCTTCCTTGTTTCCATACTCTGTGAGGATCCTGGATCTGGCAGTGTCAGAGATAAGGCTAATTGAACTGTCAGGCTTTCTGGGAGAAGAGTGCAGCGCTGCTGGTTGCGGCAGCCGGGAAAACAGCGATGATCTAAAATTAGCCCATGTTCCATTTTTATTTAGATCCCTGTTCTGGGGGCTTCTCTTGGTGGTTTTTTTTGTTTGATTTATTTGCATTTTTGGTTTTTGAATGACATAAAATTAGCTCCTTCTGAGTTTATGCTGCAAATAGAATTAAGAGCTTAAATGTTCGGTGGAGATGGCTATAAACCCATTGAATTGCCGTGATTTAGAGCCTGATGAGAATTTTAGCTTAGCAAGTAAAGCACACATGAAACGTCCCTCATTTTCAATACATAAATGGCATTACGGCAAAGGAACTCCAGACCGTGAGGTCAGGAGCTTCTGTCTGAAAGCCGAGTGCCCAGGGTGGAGGTGCGTTGCACGGCGGGATGAGCTCTGGCAGGAGAGGCCTGAAAGGCACCGCTGACACCGTGCCACCAGCTGCTTCCGAACTGCTTTGTCATTTGTATAGAAGTGTCTGGGTGCCTGGGTGTATATATGTGCGTATGCGAACATAAATATATATCTCAATTGTTCTTCTGGAAGGCAGTATAGAAGCTCTTAGGTCAGGATACAGAGAATGATAAAGACACCAGGTAACACGATGAGGATGGCACACCGTTACGTGAACCTCAGTTTCATGATTTAACCACAGACGGTTTGTCTTTGCTTTTTTATTATGTGATTTGCTTACCTTGCAGAGACTAACAGACCTTTGCTCTCCCTTACAGGCTCTTGAACCTGATCTACAATGGAAAAACTGCTTTTGTTTCTGCTGTTCATTGGCATAGCGGTGAGAGCTCAGATCTGCCCAAAGCGCTGTGTCTGTCAGATTTTGTCTCCGAACCTTGCCACCCTTTGTGCCAAGAAAGGGCTCTTATTTGTTCCTCCCAACATTGACAGGAGGACCGTGGAGTTACGGCTGGCAGACAACTTTGTTACAAACATTAAAAGGAAAGACTTTGCCAATATGACCAGCCTGGTGGACCTGACGCTGTCCAGGAATACAATCAGTTTTATTACACCTCACGCATTTGCTGACTTGCGCAATTTGCGGGCTTTGCATTTGAACAGCAACCGATTGACTAAGATCACCAATGACATGTTCAGTGGACTCTCCAATCTTCACCACTTGATACTTAACAACAACCAGCTGACTTTAATTTCTTCCACAGCTTTCGATGATGTTTTAGCTCTTGAGGAATTGGATTTGTCTTACAATAATCTGGAAACCATCCCCTGGGATGCAGTGGAGAAGATGGTTAGTTTGCACACTCTCAGTCTAGACCACAACATGATTGACCATATTCCTAAGGGGACCTTCTCCCACCTCCACAAGATGACCAGGTTGGACGTCACGTCTAACAAACTGCAGAAGCTACCGCCTGATCCTCTCTTCCAGCGAGCTCAGGTACTAGCAACCTCAGGAATTATCAGTCCCTCGACTTTTGCGTTGAGCTTTGGTGGGAACCCTTTGCATTGCAACTGTGAGCTTTTGTGGCTGAGGCGTCTGTCGAGGGAAGACGACCTGGAGACCTGTGCTTCTCCCACCCTCTTGTCCGGCCGGTACTTCTGGTCGATCCCCGAGGAGGAGTTCCTGTGCGAGCCTCCTCTCATCACCCGGCACACCCACGAGCTGCGGGTGCTGGAGGGCCAGCGGGCAGCGCTGCGGTGTAAGGCCCGGGGGGACCCCGAACCAGCAATTCATTGGATTTCACCTGAGGGCAAACTGATTTCAAATGCAACGAGGTCCGTGGTGTATGACAACGGGACGCTCGACATCCTTATAACGACGGTGAAGGACACGGGCTCCTTCACCTGCATTGCTTCCAATCCGGCTGGGGAGGCCACGCAGACAGTGGACCTGCACATAATCAAACTCCCCCACTTGCTGAACAGCACGAACCACATCCACGAGCCCGACCCCGGCTCCTCGGATATCTCCACTTCCACCAAGTCGGGCTCCAACGCGAGCAGTAGCAATGGGGATACTAAAGTGAGCCAAGATAAGAAGGTGGTCGTTGCGGAAGCAACATCCTCTACCGCTCTGCTGAAATTCAATTTTCAGAGGAACATACCCGGGATACGTATGTTCCAAATCCAGTACAACGGTACTTATGATGACTCCCTTGTTTACAGGTAAGGCAGCTGCAGCCCACCTGCGCGGGGCCCTGCCAGGCTGCCCGGCGCTGACGTGCTGCCCCCGGCTCCGCGCAGCCGAGCAGAGCCCAGCCTGTGGCAACAGACGGTGGGAGTCTCAGGAAAGTCTCATGCAATTTTCTACTTGCAAATAAGGAAATTACCTTGAACGGTGTTATTTTTAGATAGTCCAAATGGACCTCTAGTCCTCTGAACTAATCTGATTGGCAGAAAGTTTGTAAAGTTAGATGAGTTAAATGGATCTAAATGCTCTCAGCTTTATGAAAACACAAGGCGAAAGGTGTCCGTGAACACGTTCCTGTAGCCCTTTCTGGCGGTGTGCGTGCCGGTGTGCTGGTGGTGTGCAGCGAGGCACTGTGCTGCCGGCGGTAACAGTCACACCATTCAAAACTGTCTTTTCTTGGTAGTTTCTTTTACATTTTTGACGTGGTCACTCTCATGAGGGGCTCTGCAGTGCCGAGCCGTGCTGGGGGGCTTGGCGGCGACTGCTGCTGCACCAAATGCAGGGCAGCAGCTGCTGTGGGATGGCGAGCAGCCCTGCAGGGGCAGCGGCAGGAGAGGAGGAGCCGAGCCCTGGTGCTGGTCACCGCGGCCGGGGGCTGCAGCACACGGCGGGGAGGTGCCTGTGGGTCTGCCGGGTTCATTCACGCTGATTTCCTTCTCCCCCAGAATGATACCTCCCACAAGCAAAACCTTCCTGGTCAACAACCTGGCCGCTGGGACTGTGTACGACCTGTGTGTCCTGGCAATCTACGATGACGGGATCACCTCGCTCACCGCCACCAGGGTGGTGGGCTGCACGCAGTTCACCACCGAGCAGGATTACGTGCGTTGCCATTTCATGCAGTCCCAGTTCCTGGGTGGGACCATGATTATCATCATTGGTGGGATCATCGTGGCCTCTGTGCTCGTGTTCATCATCATCCTCATGATCCGCTACAAGGTGTGTAACAACAATGGGCAGCAGAAGGCCACCAAGGTCAGCAACGTGTACTCGCAGACAAATGGGGCTCAGATCCAGGGCTGCAGTGGGGTGCTGTCGCAGTCGATGTCCAAGCAGGCCGTCGGGCACGAAGAGGGCATCCAGTGCTGCAAGTCTGCCAGCGACGGCGTGATGCAGTCGCTGGAGACCGCCTCCAGCCAGGACTCGGCCACCACTACCTCTGCTTTGCCTCCCGCCTGGACTTCCAGCACTTCTGTCTCCCAGAAGCAGAAGCGAAAGCCGGGGCCAAAGCTAAGCAGCGAGCTGCAGAGTGAAGCTGTCAGCGGTATCGAGTCCCAAAACACTAACAGAAATAACTCCACGGCCCTGCAGTTAGCTAGCCGTCCCCCCGACTCTGTCAAAGGGGCCCCCACGTACAAAAGAGCACAATCAAAGCCAAGTAAGTTCCTCACTTTGCCAGCTGACGCATCCCGAGCCAAGCGCAGGCTCTCCCTGGGCGGCGAGCTGATGGAGTCCCGCTGCCCCAGCAGCGCCCGGGGCGCAGGCGGATTGCGGTCCAAAAGGAGCATGTCCATGAACGGGATGCTAGCCCAGTCAGACAGCTCTGGTGTGGATAGTGGAAAAGCAACTTTCTCCAGTTCTGAGTGGATATTGGAAAGCACTGTGTGACCTGCTTTTTTTTTTCTTTTTTTTTTTAATTTTCATTTTTATTTTAATGAAAAACAAAACACCAAACGTTGTGTGAAACTCCCTCTCCTGGGGAATTGGATTTGGAAGTCCACTGTTGTCTTGCTGATTAATGGCTTGTTCATGCGGGGTTCTGTATAAGCCACCCAGTGCACACAGGGTTTTATTTAGTTTTCATTTGATTTTATTTAATATCAAAACCGAAGGCAACATTCAGAGATTAAAAAAAAAAAAAGGAAAAAAAAAGATTAAGGGGTGAAAAAAAGCATGAAACAGCACCAGTGCCTTCCCTACTCAAGGACTGGCTTCCTGGTTCTGCAGTAGCAGAAAACAAAAGAGAGAGTTTTCACAGAAAAAGCCTTTTATAAAGGAAATGAAATTTCCTCCGAGCTGACAAATAACCACTTCTGGATCAATCAGTAAAATGATATTTTTTAAAACGGTCAGGCTGTATATTTCTTTTCCGTGACAATGGTGTTGCCTTTGTTTTTAGGCAGATGCTGTACAGAAACAACAACGCTGTGTTGTTATGTTGTGTAAAATAAAATATTCACTCCGTACACCAGCCAGCCTCGCGGTAACTGCCCGCCCAGGAGCCGTGCCCGGGGCCTGCGGGTGCCGCTCGGCGGGGCCCGCTGCAGGGCCCAGGAGGAGGAGGAGGAGGAAGAGGGTGCCGGGGCGAGGGGTCCCTCTCCTCCCGACAGGGCCCAGCTGGCTGGGGCTGGGCGCTGGTGCAGCAGCTGGGCTACGCTGCCAGGTCTCCCGGAGAGGGTGCCCAGCCCGCAGTCCCCGAGCACCCTCATCCCGCATCAATGGCTTTGCCCAGTGCCAACGCTGGAAAAAACCGTTGCCGTTCGGCACCAGCAATCAGGGCAGGTGTATTCTGCCCGTTGCTTCCAACACATGCGAGGCCTGGGCTGCTGCTCCGTTTTCAGAGCTGGCCCCCGCCCCGGCAGGCCCTGCGGCGAAGGCTGCCCCTTCCCGTCAGCGCAGGTGCACGGAGGTGTGAGACGTGGGCGAGGGGAGCCTGCGGGAGACGCGGGAGCAGCCCTGCACCCAGACGCAGCGGCAGGCATCGCTGCGGTCCTCCGTTGGGGCAGGGAAATGCGGCTTGGTCGAGCTCCGGGCAGAGCGCTGGCACCGCAGGGTGCGGGGCAGAGAGGCGGGCAGGGGCAGCGAGCAGGGCTGGGAGCAGGGCGGCGGGTTGGCCCCGGTGCCGCGGGGCAGGGCTGCAGCCGGCGGCACGTGGCCCTTCAGCAGCTCATCCTGGTGACTGATCGGGATGATGATGGTCCTCTCCTGCTTTCCTAGGCTTTTTGGGGCATATGTCCTGTAAACTCTATGGTTCGTTTCAGTTCTCTGTAGTCCCTGTGCACAATGAAGGGACTGGAAGATGGTCTCATCTTTAACCTGCTGTTTGTGGTGCCTGTGGGATAGAATAATTTCAGGCCACTATGTAAGGATGTAAACATACGGCAATAGGTGACAGCAGCTGAAAACCTCACGTTGTGAGGATGGCAGACATGCTTCTGCCCCTCTGCTTGTTCTAAAGAAAAGGCTACAATTAGTATTAATTAAACTTGTATGGTCATGTTTACATCAGAGACAGCTCTAACTCTGCAACATTAGTGCATTCTCAGATGCCACACAAAAGGTTTCATATGGGCTTTGCAGCCATTGAAGTGATAGAATAGTTACGTTTTACACCCTGTGTGCTTGTTGGTGAGGGCAGTGTAACCCAAGCAATGCCTGAAGACACCCTGGCTCTAAGCAGGCAGCAGGCCAGCCCGGGCGCCGTCCTGGCAGGGGACGTCGTGGCAGGGGATGGCTCCGGCAGCCCCCCGGTCTCTGCCTCCACGGCCCCGCGGCTTGCGGCTGACGCGCGCCAGGTGACCCCCCTTGCTCTCAGCCGTTGTGGGTTGCTCTCGGCGGTTGTACCGCCTGTTGTGGAAAAAGAGAGTCTGGGTGGGGGTGGTGTGAAGGACATAAAAAGAAGCAGCTGTTTCTTTTTTAGAAAGCCCTTTTTCTTCCCTTGGGAAATGCAGAGACCAAAAAGGAAACAAAGCCTCAAAATTAGAATACCCGCTTCCTACTGGAAAAGTTTAAAAAAAGGAAAAAAAAAAAATCCCTCCTTAGATTTCTCTGGAAGTCCACGTTCTTCTCGAGGGGCTGCATACACAGGAACTAGCGATTAAGACGGCGCCGTCAGAGGCAGTGATGTGTTTGCCCAGGTCCCGGTAGTCTGACAAGGGAGGCGTTGTCGGGTACGGGAAGAGCCGTGCTGCTGTGCCCGGCGAGGAGCTGCTCTCTGCGGACAGTACCTCCACTTTGCGCCTGGGTACAGGGAGAGCTTTAAGGGTTTTCTGCTGAGTTTGTTTTAATCGTGCATTTTAAAAACATCAACTGAAAATGCTTTATATGTTGCCTAAAATTGGACGTAAATGTGTCTAATGTTTTGTGGAAGTGCTAAGATATTAATAGCTTTTGGGGATTTAGGGAATCTTATTTTTATATTTTTAATTTTTTACTCAAAGGAATCATTTCCTAGACACTGAAGCTGAGTGTTCTGTCCACAGTGCATCTGTGTAAGCAGCTTAGAAGGACCATATGTCCCTGCGTTTGATTTAATTCTCTGCTAATAGTGCAGGAACGGTCAGACCTGGACAGCTGAGGGTTCGTCTCGTGCATCTTCCTCTCTTCGGCAGAGAGGATCGTCCCTTGGGAGTGCACCGGGCATGAAATCTCCCATTTCCACTGGAGTAACTGCAGCAGGACAGTTCATTTCATTCAGGCTTGATTCAGTCAAAGTGTGGAAAGCCCTGTGAAGGAGGAAATTCTCTGTCCTTTCTGTTCTGCAAAACCAGAGGTTGCCAACAGTTTGAGGCAGAAAGTGCTGCAGTCCTCCTTGATCAGAATAACGTTGGTACGTCTTTGTGCAGAGTGCAGTACAGCAACGTTTTCTAATGCTTCAGAAATAAGAATACGAGTTCAGTAAAGCCGAGCAGCGTGTTCCCTGGTGCGGGCACAGGCAGGGGCCGGGCAGGGCAGCCCTGGGGCAGCGGGGCAAGGGGAGGCGGCCGTGCAGGGCCCAGCGCTGCAGCCCTGGCTGCGCCCGGCAGCAGAGGGGAGCTTGCAGAGACTGGAACCGGGCGGCACAGACCTGCCCCTCGGGGCATCGCCCAGCCTGCGGTCCGCTCCTCGGAAATAGATGAACCGTTGGTTTCGCCATGAGATGGTGTCTTTTTTCACAAGCACCGGAGGAGGAGAAACTACTTCAGAAATCTGTTTGCTCTCATTAAAATTGCTGGCACATGCTTCCTCTTACACCTTTTCCTAATCCTTTTCTCAGAGCATACATGTTGTGTTAAAGAGGGCTGGTACAAACAGTATTTGGATGGAGAAGCAGGGCTTTGTTGGGTGAAAAGTTTGCTGTGTTAGTTGTTTTCTGTGCTGCCTTTCCGCTTGTGTTCTGGGCATGTTCTTTACAGTGAATACATGGTACTGCTCTGCTCTGGGTGCCAACGTGGCTTTATTTCTGCCAGCGTGTTCCCATGTGTTTGACAGCCCTCCCCACGCACCCGGGCAGCCCTGCAACAACACGGAGCGAATGGGAAAGCGATGGCCCCTGGCCCCATGCCGGGAGAGGGGCACAGCCGCCGGCACACCCCGCTCTGGAGGCTGGCTCCTCCCCGCTGGCTGCAAAGCTGCTGGAGGCTCAAGGCTTGCTGCCAGCAGCACAGGGATGCTCCTGCCTCCTGGGGACCATGAAAGCCCCGCTGGTCAATGCTTCAGGACTGCAGAAGGTGTCTCCTTGTAACTCCTTAGGCACCTGAGCATGGCTGCTGAGGCAGCCGCCTGGCATTGAGCATCCTGGGCTGGTGGAGAGACACCGAGCTGTGACAGCCGACAGTTCTGCCGCAGCCGGCGCTCGCTGCGTGCGTGCCCTCGAGAAGGCGCAGCATAGCCCTTCCTGTGCTGCCATGAAACCGTGCCCAGAGAGAGGGAGTGCTTTTCTTCCCCCAGTAATTGGTTCAATCAGCAGAAGTAATGGTCACAGCTGCTATCATTTACTATCGCTTCTCTTCCTATTAATTGAGAAGAACTGGAGTCTCAAAGGTACCGCTTGCAGAGTGGCAACATCTGTCAGCATTGCAATAGCTCAAGAACATTTACTGTCCTGTTCTAGGGTGCTGCTTGCAACCAGGGGTGTGCTATTGCTCTCTTAAAGCAGCAATAACAACAGCCACGAAAAAAAAAAAATCACACCATGCCTTTCCCCTGGTAACTTAGTACGTAATCTTAATTTTGGTCAAAGTTCTGGTTTAAAAGAAGCAAACCATGGCAAAGTCAATAGGGTCCTGCTTACAGAGAACACATATCCCATATTTTCCCTTTGCGAATATGTTTCTGCGTGCCTTGCTGCGTGTCGGGGTGTCTGGAGCTGGTGCCAGAGCCTGTGCTCCAGATCCGGCCCGTGCTGGGTAAGTAACCCACCACGGCACCTCTGCCCGGCCGGGGCTTCCAGGCAGCCAAGTGCTAATTCCTTCCACAAGCCGTTCTGCAGTGCTACACCCCGCCGCTGCCGCTGTTGCCCTCAGAGCTGAATCGTCCCTCTGGGCATCGGGCACCCACCAAGGGGTGCGGCTAGCGCCCGCGCGCACGGGCGGCAGTGCTGTCTTCCCTTCCCTGCAGGCTGCAGGCAGGTGCATCGCATTAGGCATTGAATGTCAGATTAAATCAACTCTGTAAATAAGAATACACGTGCCCTATACTGACTTTTACTGTTGGAATGTGGCTGTGGTCTTGCTTTCACAACAGTACGGACGTCCACGAAACACGAGCGCGCAGGTTGGTGGGGCTGAAGCGGTACGGGTTAAAGCACCTACACCCCGGCATCAGTAATGCAAGACCAACAAAAGGCAAATCGTACTGGTCTTGCTGACTGTAGACTTTTAATATAATTGATTTATTCACGAGAGCCA